TCTAGGATTCTTTCCTCTAAAGAAAGGATCACAACAACACAAAAGTCTATTAAGGTTGACATAAAAATTCAGTGAGATCGAGGTCAAGAGATTGAGACCATCCTGGTTAACAAGGTGAAACCCTGTCTCTACTAAAAATACAAAAATTAGCTGGGTGTGGTGGTGGGCACCTGTAGTCCCAGCCACTCAGGAGGCTGAGGCAGGAGAATCGCTTGAACCTGGGAGGCAGAGATTGCAGTGAGCCGAGATCGTGCCACTGCACGCCAGCATGGTGACAGAGAGAGACTCCATCTCAAAAACAAAACAAACAAACAAACAAAAAAATTCAGTGAGATAAAGGTGCCAGGCAGACAAATAAAAGCATGCTTTATTTTACCTCCAATTAATTTGTTTTTTTTTAAACTTTTTATTTTGAAATAGCTACACATTAACATGAAGTTGAATGAAAGAAAGTATGACAAAGAACCATGTACCTTTCACCAAGTTTCCCCAATAGTCACATCTTTGATTACTGTAGTATATGTCAAGTCCCAGAAATTGACATTGGTACAATCCACAGAACATGTTCTGATTCTACTAGTATTACCTGTTCTCGCATGTGTGCGTGTATGTGTATGTGTGTAGTTCTATGCAATTATGTGTATAGATTTATGTAACCACCATCATGATCTAGATACAGAACAGTTTTGTCTCCATAAGGCCGTACTCACACCCGTCCACTCATTGTCCCAACACCTGGCAACCATCATTCTGTTCTCCATCTCTATCATTTTATTTCAAAGATGATGTATATATGGACTCTTATAGTATTTAATCTTTGGTTATTGACTTTCTTTTGAGCCTGCATAATTCCATTGATATCATCCAAGTTATTGAGTGTATCATTTGTTTTTTCCTTTTTTATTGCTTATTAGCAATAAAACTTTTGCTTTCGTTTGTTCCTTTTTATTGCTTAGTAGTATTCCAAGATATGGGTGCAGCATAGTTTGGTTTGTTCAATCATTTTCCTGTTGAAGGCCAACTTGGCTGCTTCAAGGTCGAATTTTAAAATTTATTTATTTAGAAAAATGTATTGCGGCTTCCTACTTGTGGGTAAAATTTGCTGCTTTTTAGTTGCAAGACACGCTGTTGAATAGTAGTATTCTTGGTATTCTTGGATTTAGTAAATTTATCTTTATTCTCTTTATCTCTTGACTTTAAGGCTTTTAAGAGTTTCTTTTTTTTTAGATGGAGTCTCGCTCTGTCGCCCAGGCTGGAGTGCAGTGGCGCAATGGTTGCTCATCGCAAGCTCTGCTCCTGGGGTCACGCCATTCTCCTGCCTCCTCATCCTGAGTAGCTGGGACTACAGGTGCCCGCCACCACGCCTGGCTAATTTTTTTGTAGTTTTAGTAGAGAAAGGGTTTCACCGTGTTAGCCAGGATGGTCTTGATCTCCTGACCTCATGATTCGCCCACCTCGGTCTCCCAAAGTACTGGGATTACAGGCGTGAGCCACTGTGCCTAGCCAAGGCTGTTAAGAGTTTCTTAGCCAACCTTCTATTTCTTTGTGGACGAAAGAGTTCTAACATTTTAGTCTTTCTTGTAAGGGTATCACTCTTTTCTTATGATAATCTAAATACACTTTTCTGGGTAAACATTAGCTTATGTCTCAGTTAAATTTTGAAATGAACATAGGCACAAAACAGGCAAAATGCGTTGCCAGAAGTATAAAAATGCAGGTTGTATTTATTCCTGTGGCCTATGTAATTATGGCTAATATTTAGAGGACTTCGGTGCATTTAGCACTAACCTGGTAATATGGTTGTTGGGAAAAATAATTATTGAAGAGTTTATATCACTCTTTTAAGTCATAATTTATGTAAGACAGAAATGTCTTTCAGGTATTTATGGCTGGGTATTTTATTTTGAATTGTTTCTGTCCTAGGAGGAGCATGTAGGGAAAATTACGATATCTTATAGGAATCCATACTCTTAAAAATGGGATTTTACATGACTAAACCTGAGGACAATTATACATTTTAAAAGATGAGCATGAACATGGATAGGAGGGATAAAGGATAACAATGAGTCATCAAGTAAAAGGGAATAAAAAAAAGTCATAAATGTATAGGTTTGTAAACTGGAAGTCACGTTAGAGATATCTAACCCAGAGATTTTCAAACAGTGAAGTTTGCCATCAGAGTCCAGAAATGGACTTGAAAGTCTATACAAATTAATTATATCCTAAAGCTAGTGTCTTAAAAGCAGTCTGGAAAGGATTATTTCAAATATACTATAAAACAGGTAGTCAAATTCCGGAACAAAGAAAGAAGGAAAGGGAAAAAAGGAAGAAAGAATAAAAGAAATGAATGAAAAATGTACAGAATGAAGAAAAAAGGAGAGAGTTTCATTTGTTAAATCAAAACAAATTTCATTCAGATAAAATATTCAATGTAAAAATGAAACTGTTCAGTGACCACACCTAGCCGTGGATCCCAGCCAGTAGCTACACATCAACAAAAGCCCAGGCAGCAGCCCCACTGAACCTCAGGGCCTGGGCAGGAGTTTTACCCACCCAGAGACCCCCAAGAGTAAGCCCTGCCTGTTCACAAATGCTACCAGCTTCACCATCCAGAATCCCAGGCTGGGCTGACTGCTGAGAGTCTTTCCCTGCTGAAGGGAACTTGTAAAGTGTGGAAGAGGAGACTGTGTCCTCAAAGGCACAAATACCAATGTAAGATTGCAAGGATTTTACACACACACACAAACACACACACATACACTGAAATATTATTAGCCATGAAATGAAGAAAATCCTGTCATTTGGGACAACATGGATGGACCTCGAGGACATTAAGCTAAGTGAAATAGGTCAGACAATGTAAGACAAATCATCTCATTTACATGTGGAATCTAAAAACTCATAGAAACAGAAGGTAGAATGGTGATTGTCAAAGGTTGTGGATAGAGGAAATGAGGAAATGTTGGTCAAAGGGAGAAAATATTCATTTATAAGATGAATAGGTTCTGAGGATCTAATGTACAGCATGGTGACTGTAGTTAATTACACTGTATTGTATATTTGAAATTTGCTGAAAGAGTAGATCTTAAATGTTCTCACTATACACACTCAAAAAAATGGTAACTATGTAAAGTGGTGGAGGTGTTAACTAATTTGATTGTGGTAATAATTTCATAATATATATATATATCAGAGCATCAGGGTGTATGCCTTATATACATACAATTTTATATTTCAATTGTAGCTCAGTAGAGGTAGAAAACATGAAATTGTTAAAGTACTGGAAGAAATCATGAGAGATTCCTAAGCATAAACTAAATTTATCTTAAGGAAAACACACACACACACATCATAAAGAATAATAAATAGTATAAAGTGATCTCTACTGAGTCATCAGCAGGCACCAATCGTCACGGCTTCTCAAGGGCATGATTCTTTTCCAGAATACAAGGTCTCCTGGAAATCTTAGAGTTGTTCTCGTACACCACAATGGGGCTCACAGGGTCTTAATCCCACAGCATCATGGAAACCACTTTTGTCCCTTAATAAAATACGATGGCTGGGTACATCAGAGCCAGAGAACAGTGCAGGCTCAGAACACCAGCCAGCACACCAAGCAGGGGTCCACTTGGGAGCCCAGGTTGTTTTCACCCCAATTGAATCACCTGGAAATTAGGGACAGGGAAGGAGTAGGAGCTGGCTAGAAACATAGCAGCATTGTAAGAACACCACAATTTGATTTATTAGACTTGTAAGCAACTGAGAGCAGAAAGGGAATCTCTATCATTCATCCAATCCCTTCCATCTGGCTCTTGGATCTCCCTTAGAAACACCAGCTTACACTGAAACCCCTCCCCTGATTATCTGCAGAGGCAGCCCAGTTCATAAAACATCTCCATCATGGTGAGTCAGACATTTTTCCACCCCCTTCCCTAGGTTCCTTGACTCCTCAAGGGTGGGATGAGTTGACAAATTGACAACATTGCACATTTTTGAAACAATAGTCAGCCATCCTTACATGAAAAAATATAGGCTGATATCCTTTGTTCTTGATATCTGTTTTCTGCTTTCTTTCTCTCTCTTCATTGATTTATTTTTTGAAAGCAAAGATGCAAAGTGTGAAACTGGATCAACAACTTCTATAAGGAAGCAGCAGAATATAGGGCATCTTCAAGGCCCAGCAATTCAACAGAGAAAGCAAGAGGGCTGGGAGTGAATTAGAGCAAGACAAGGATACTGAGTCATCCAACTTGGGTTGGCAAGAAAATTTTGGAACCTGGGGAGATGAGTTCATGTGCTCTGTTAGAGCTAGGAATGCAGAAAGGCAAAATCACAAGGAAAATCTGACGCAGGGAGCAAAAAAATGAGGGACTTGGACCTTTTAGTATAGCTGTTCTCTGAAGCCAACATTCCACAAGAGACCCTGAATCTGAATTTTGGAGGGTTGTTTCTGTGGAAAAGGAAACATCAAACTTTCACAGCTTAGTTGTCCACCTTAAAACAGCTCTGTATTTCTCATCAGAAGGTCTAGAAAATTCAGAGTGCAGAAGATAGAAAAGGGATAGGTCCTACAGTGTTCTTGTTCTCACACCAGTGGTCATCTGTTTCACACTGAAACCTTCACAGGCCATCTGACCCATAATGAACGAGCCATCAGACTAAAATGTAGTTTTATCCTCCTGAGTCACCAAGAAGAGTCGTGGGCCTGTAAGAATAGGAATCACCCAAGAGTAGTCATGATGTGTGAAGCAAATGAGGCTGAAGCACATAGTATGTGCTTACAGGCAGATGTCACATGGCAGCTCTAGGAGGAAGTTACAGTAAGAGAGTTACCACAGGAGTTGGTTCAGGAAGAGCTGAGCTGAGGAGCCCTAACACATTAGGGAAAGGAGATAGTGTTTCCATCTGTGTGGATGAAGTTAACCAGAACAACAAACTTGCCTAATTTGATAATTGCCTACTTATCAGGACAAACAACAACAAGGAAAGAGTGCTGCAGCTGATGATATCAGGCCTTAGCAGGGTATAAAAGAGGATCTGGGGCAAGAAAACTTCCAAACCTTCCAAACCCATCTTCCTGGAAACCCACCCAGAACCTCCACCCTCTGACACCATGGTCAACTCCTGTTGTGGCTCCGTGTGCTCTGACCAGGGCTGTGACCTAGAGACCTGCTGCCGCCCCAGCTGCTGCCAGACCACCTGCTGCAGGACCACCTGCTGCCGCCCGGCACTGTGTGTCAGCTGCTGCAGGCCCCAGTGCTGCCGTCTGTGTGCTGCCAGCCTGCTGCCAGACAATGACCACCTGCTGCAGGCCCCAGTGCTGCCAGTCTGTGTGTGCTGCCCAGCCTGCCGCCCCAGCGCTGTGGGCAGCCACTTGCTGGGGCCACCTGCTGCCGCCCCAGCTGCTGTGTGTCCCGCGCAGGCCCAGTCTTTGCTGCAGTCTGTGTGCTGCCAGCCCACCTGCTGCCACCCCAGCTGCTGCCAGACCACCTGCTGCAGAGCCACCTGCTGCCGCCCCAGCTGCTGTGGCTCCAGCTGCTGCCGTAGCCCAACCTGCTCAGTGGCTCTTGCTGCTGTTACTCACTCACCTGCCTTTATTCACCAGAATTCTTGATAGGTGCTGCAGGACCACCTGCTGCCGCCCCAGCTGCTGTGTGTCCAGCTGCTGCCGCCCAACCTGCTCTAGTGGCTCTTGCTGCTGATGCCCTCACCTACACTCACCTGCCTTTATTCACCAGAATTCTTGATAGAGTCCACCTGTGAACTGAATCATGCAAGGCCACCTGGACAACCTCAGTTCCAACCAATTCTTGGATTGCGTTTGGCCTCCAAATACGCTCACCCAACACTATGTTGCTACCCTCTACCAAATGAATACAAGTTTGAATTTTCTCTGAAATATGTCAACTCCCATGTTCCCTGAATTGAAATATTTGCTCTCTACCATAATTTATCGCATGGAGCTATTCCTCTATCTTAAATAAATTTTAATTTTTGAGGCATACAAATAATATATGGGCATTGTGTCTCATTATTTTTCCTTGAATTCTCGTCCTTACCTGTCAAATTTTCTGCTGTTCTTCCTGGCAGAGGGAGAAGTCCACAGCAGATGATATCAGGGGCTCCACCTCTGTTCTATCAGCACTCTCCATTCAAATACAGGAAAATGGTTCCTTAGAGCAGGCACCTGGAACTCTGCCTGAGGACTTTCTCTGGATAAAGGAGCAAACTCTGGGCTGGAGACTTAAAGCCTCTAGGAACAGCACTCAGAGAATGAGTGGGAGTTGGTGATATATGCCCTGGCTTGTTTCCCTCCAGTGGGGGGCATGTCAAACCAGTTTTCCAGAGGTCCTCATTGGGATTTATTCCAGATGCCTACAGGAACATTCTGATCATGAACTCACTCTATAATGACTTTCCCTCCTTCCCAGGGTCATTTCTCAAGTTTCCTCCAGTGTTTCTTAGGTTAACTGCCCAACTGCCCAAATATACTACATGTTCTCAGATCCTCTTTTGTGGGTTTGTTCCAGAGGGCACACAGTCTAAAACAGCAGTATTCCCAATCTCACTATCAGTGTCCTTCAAAATGTTTTTGTGCAATATGAATGGTTACCATAGATTTTGGTCAACTCTTGAGTTTATTGTCACCTGAATGGACACCGCTGAACATTTTGCTGGTTTTTTTTTGCTTTTCAGTTTTTGTGCATTAAAGTGTTTTTCTATTATTTGTTCATTTACTTTTTCGGTCTTCTGTTAAGCATTTTAATTTTTAAAGTGTTTATTTCAATATGCACATTTGCTTTGAAACTAGTTGTCTTCGATTGTTTTTTTCTTCCACATCATTTTATCTGAGGGATAGGACACAACCACTATGTTGGTGATTCTTATCCTAAAAAAGGCTATATTGAAAAAGGTTTCACCCTGAGCTGTGCTGCTAAGTTGGAGGCACCAAAGAAAGACCTAAAACCGGGATGTTTGCACGAGTGATTTTTATAAGAAAATGCTCTCAGGAGAAATCAGTAAGGAACTGTGGGAAACAGAATAGGATTGTAGAAGAGGCTAAGCCCAAAAGGATTTTATTCTCATTTGACCCCACAGGAAGCTCTAAAATGTGAATGGTATTACAGACCCATCTTTCTGAGAGGCAAGGTATTTGGAACTTTGCAATCCTACATCAGTTACCACCAGCTATGGGCCACCCATGGGAGAGGAAGAGGATGCAGAGAGGGCAGAATCCTCCAGATGAGGTGGCTCCTGGAGGCTGAGAACAACTACCTGGAGAGGCGTGCAGGCGAACACAGGGAGCCCCTGGCTGTCCTACCTACACTAGCTTGGGGATGGGGCATCTTTCTGGCAAATGGGATCAGGATAGGGAGCCCTGTAGTCCACCTCTGGCACTGCCCAGCTCCAGCTATTTCTCTCGTTAGGCTCACTCCAACTGGTTGGTCACAGTTTCTAGAGAAATGTATGAGAGGAGGGGTCACGGGCACTCCCGCTTCTGGTCTAGGTCACTTGCTTGGTAGGGTAACTCAAGTCCTCATCCTGAGAGCTCTGAGCCTTGGTTACTGTGTCCCTATCAGGCTTGAGCCCTTGAACTTGCTCATTTGCAGTCAAGGCTGGAAGTAGAAGCACCAAGCATGCCCCAGGGGATCACTTAAGTGCTAAATATATTCCTCCCTGTCCCCATTGGCATAACAGCGGTCCTGCTTCCTCATGATGATGAGGCCAATTGCCAGTGGGAATAGCTCTTTTCTTTATGCTAACAACCATAGCTTTAATTCCAATCAAATCCTTACTATGCCTCCTGGAGGTGGCTCCTCCCCTTTTGGAGCCAGGACCTCTCCATAAAACTTATAGTTATTTGGGAGGGAGCATAAATTCCCTCAGGTGGCTCACAGGGCATGAAGGTGAGTGAGCAACTCCTCTTTCCACACGTTGGTTTTCTGTATTAATGTATTTTACCTATTGTGGACACACTACCATGTGATGGTGATTGGTGTAATAATTCTGACTGCATCCCGAAGAACAGCACTCCACCTCACAGGGTGTCATCTCAAAGCTGGGATCTCCGTTATGGCTTCAAGAGGTGGTTGCATCACACTATCCGTTCAGCTGTTTCTGGATGGTGCAGTATAAAGTATACTGTGGATAACAGGGTGGATAACAGGGTATCTACAGTTACCTGCCCACTGCTACACACCTTGTGCTCCATATGGGGTTGATTAGTCAAAGGTGAAGTTAGGTAGGATTCCACACTGCCATTGAGTTCTCTTGGGCCCCCATGTAACGGTGCTGGCTGAAGCACTGCCAGCAGAAAATGCAAGCCCATCGCCTGACTGCATGTCAGTTCCATCAACAGCAAGCCCATCGCCCGGCTGTGTCAGTTCCATCAACAACAAGCCCATGTCTGACTGCATGTCAGTTCCATCAACAACCAAGCCCAACGCCTGACTGCATGTCAGTTCCATCAACAACAAGCCCCATCGCCTGACTGCATGTCAGTTCCATCAACAACAAGCCATCGCCTGACTGCATGTCAGTTCCATCAACAACAAGCCCATCGCCTGACTGCATGTCAGTTCCATCAACAACAAGCCCATCGCCTGACTGCATGTCAGTTCCATCAACAGCAAGCCCATCGCCTGACTGCATGTCAGTTCCATCAACAGCAAGCCCATCGCCTGACTGTATGTCAGTTCCATCAACAGCAAGTAACTGGCTGATCCCCTCATAGGATGGTACGGGCTGCTCTCTTGCTGGCAGGTCGGATATTCAGCAGTGGTGTCCTGGTATGCTCTAGACATGATGCTTAAAAATATTACCAGTGTGGCAGCCTCTGGAATCCTTGTCTCTTCTCTTCTAGAGCACATGGATCTTAGCAAGATCTCCACAGAATTCATATTTGATGTTCATCAAGTCTGATTCACATGGCATTATCAATATGGTGGGTCAACATGCTGTATTGTAGGATGTTCACAATGCCTAGATCTTTTGAGACGATACTGTGACAAAGATCAGGAGAATTAACATATCCCTGGTTCAGCACAGAGTGTTACCACCACTGTCTGTTCCAGGTGAAATGGATTCACTTATTATGCTGCTTCCTGGTGGTTACTGAAAAGGATATATTTGCCAGTTTGGTTGCCATATACCCCGTATCAGAGACTGTTCATTTGCTCCAAAAAAGATTCTACACTCATCAATCACAATGACTATAATTACATTTTTATTTGACAGGGTTTGCATTCATCCACTGTCATCTGCTATGATCTAGATGGTTTTTGTTGGGTCTGAACTAGTGAATCATATGAAGGCGGTATTCACCTCTCCTGCATTTTAAAGTCTTGAATATGTCTCTAATTTCTTGCTTTTATCCACTCGTTTGTGTGGAGAATGTGTGAGAGGTCCCAGATAATGTAACGAGCTTCCATTGGGACTTTCCTATCATAATAATTCTTACTCCATAGGTCAAGGAATGTTACTGGTGAACTCTACAGTGGGGAACTGGGTAAATGACCGCATGGTGGGTCTGTGCACCCTGTGTAAGACTAACCTGCACCAACACTCCATTTATTTTTCTGACCATGATTATGAGATCCTAATGGTGTTTGTGTTCACATTTTGGGTTTCCAGCTTTCAATGTCAACTCAGATCTGGTATCTAACAGCATCCAAATGCATGGGTATTCTACTTTCCGCTGAGAAGATGGCTGTGGGTATCTATGGGAAAGGACTAGTGAGGCTACTATTTACTGTGACCCCGTTTTTGGGAGGACTGGCCTCTCCTTTAGTTGATACATTCTAGGTCCAATAATCAACTCACATCTGGAAACTGGATAAAGGATTATGATTTTCCATTGGAGCAACTTATCTTTTTGCTCGTTTAATCTTAAGCTCTTGAAATATACACAGATGGAGATACAGATATACAGTTGGCCCTCAAATGAGACAAGTGTTAGTAGTGCCAATATCCTGTGCAACCAAAAATTAAAGAATAACTTTGACTTTCCCAAAACTCAGTTACTAATAACCTACTGTTGACCAGAGCCTTACTGAAAACTTAAACAATCAACACACATTTTATGTGTTATATGTATTGTATTCTGTATTCTTACATTAATGTAAGTTAGAGAAGAAAAAATGTTACTAGGAATATCACAAGGAGGAGAAAATATATTTACTGTTTACTAAGTGGAAGGGCATCATCATAAAGGTATTTATCTTGGTCATCTTCATGTTGATTAGGCTGAGAGTAGAATGAGGAAGAGGAGGGGTTGGTGTTGCTGTCTCAGAAGTGGCAGAGGCAGAAGAAAATCCATATATAAGAGGACTCATGTTGTTCAAACCCGTGTTGTTCAAGGGTCAGCTGTAGATATAGATTATATAGCTATAGATGTAGCTAGCTATGGATATAGATATAGATATGAGTATAGATATAGATATTGATCCACAGAGTCTACAGTTATTCCTATGCCTTTTTGGCCACCTATGTCCTATTCTGAGTACCACCATGTTCTGTAGTCCATAATCATAGATCTCTGTGAGTCACAAAATACTCTGCCTAGTTTGCCATTCTTCACTTGCTGCATATCATATAATTATACCTACACTAATTCTTAAAGTTAAATGTTGCCTCCTGGCTATGCTATTCTGAGATCTTATTATCCCCATTACTCTTGGGAAGCTTAGTTCTATAACAAAACTTTTTATCACAAATGCCGA